AAGTGCATAATCTTCTCGGAAATGCATTAGTGCATTTATTTTAATGCATAGATTTGAAGGCTCTGTATTTCTTTATCGTATAAAAAAAGATTTATTCGATTCCGATGATAAATAAGCATGCGCAAATCGATTGAAATTGAATACGATATTTTTTTTTGTTAGTCTGTTTTCTGAAAGTGCATCTTTCAAGTACGTTGTTGATGCACCTATGCATCTTGGGGGGAAAAGAAAAAATAGGGGTCGTCTTATTTTGGGCCTAGAACATTATCCAAGTATTTTGATGTTGTTTCGTTACCGGTCACCCGGTGCCCTGCATGATTTGAGGTGGAATCAGCCTACTAGCACTGCAAAAATCGCAAAATACATCACTTAGCTTTGAAGCTCCTAAGTTTATGTTAATCAAATCCTGTAAATTACACCTCAATTTATTTAAAGAAATGGATGTTCCGTGGCCGTCACGTTGCTTGGCGCCAGCTCGTACCTACCGCGCGAACTGCTTCTGCGCTTGCGCGCTCTCGAATGGTGTGCGCATGAATGCGAGGTCGAGAGTCCGTTGGAAATAAGGTCCGGGGACTGATCACCATCTTGATTCACTGCCTCGGAGGGGACGATGAGGCAGTCTCTCCGAGCAGTTCGAAGCGTATAGACATAGCGTTCTAGCTTCATCGCCAATCGAAACGTGATCTGTCGACAATCGATCTTTCCGAGATCACCTTCCTGTTTTTAAAACGGTTGACCGTCGAATTCTGTGTGCAAGTGTGTGTCATTGAGAAGATTCTCGCGTATATATAATTGTGTGAAGGAGTGAAAGCTTAGAAGAACAATTAGCGCGACCACCATTGTTCTAACAAATTGTAACGGCCTCGTGCGTTCCGCGAACACGTCTCGGCGTGTTATATGTGCAACTTCTTTTTCTTCCTTTTTTTTATTGTAAGAGTGCGCGATTTCCTTTTTTCCCTTTTTATTGTAACTTCGTGTTCTCTTTCTTTTATTGTAAAATTTAATAATAAAAGGGTTTTTATGCCGGTATGGCTTTTCCCTCTATTTGAGAATTTTTATTTAAAATACTTTAATCAATGCTATTAAAAAATTCAACTTTTTCCTTTTCTCTTTATAAATAGCTACGTCTCATTTCATGGTGCCTCCTGTGAGGTTCGAATTTCACATTTCTATGTTGTCGCATTTCGACGTGCACGAACGTGATTCGAGCGGGCAAAGTGCGGGCGTTATTTTAGGTTGCAGAATTTAAGGCTAGGAACTCTAGTGAATCAAAGGCAACCATTCTCAAGCAGAACAGATAGCTGACACCATCTAGCGAGTGCAGTGGCAACCACACTTCGATTCAACACTACTTAAAGATAAGTTTCACTCTTTTCTTCGCACTGTCGAGCGTTGTATATTGACATTCATTCATTTATAACCTAATTATAACCAATCTATCAAGTAATTACATAATCATTTATTAATTCGTTTAATCATTGCCATTATTTTTAATTCATTGCCATTATTGATTCATTACACAGCCCCACGGGAAAAAAAAGTGGCCTGTGCGAAAGACAAGACCATGATACCTTTACGTTTTCGAGGTCGCTGAATCTGATTCCGGGGTCCGCTTGACCAGGTTGGCTTTCGTTCAAGGTCAAATGAAGGTCAAATTCAGAGAATGCATTGCAAATAAAATATACCAGTATATTTACATGTTTTTGAGGTCGCTGAATTCGAATCCGAGGTCAGTTTAACCCGGTCAGGTCAGGGTCAAGGTCAGGTCAAGGTCAAAATGATAAAATGCATCACAAATATTATTATTGCAAAACAATTATTATTTATCCATGAGATAGGTGCAAAAATACATCATATAACTTATATTCTACCAATCTAAAATAAATTGTATACATTGTTGACATTGAATTAGATTTCTAGGTTACATTTATAAAGTCTGTAATATTTTTATGTAGGTCAAAGTATGAAAAAGTAGATTATAATGAATGAGTAAATTTACCTGTTGTTCTGTGCAGCTGAAAATTACATTTTTAATTAACGTGAAAAGCCTCTTAAAGTAAGAAATTTTTTGATCGTAATCTATCAAAATAGATGTATGCGCGTGCAATACACTTGAAGAAATAGGTAACGATAAAACTACAAGTTGCTCAAGAGCCAAATGCACCAAACAATTGATTTTGTTATTACAAAAGAATGGTAAATGAAACAAATATTGTTAGCCAGTTTATTAATGTCAAAAGCCGCAGTTATATATCGAAAAATTTGAAAGCCGGGGCTGATTCATTAATCTTCTTCGCAACTTAGCGGCAGATGTCAGTATATGATGACAAGGCACTTCGTTGAAAATTTAATTTTTTTTAAAAAAGCAAATGCAAAATAATTATTCGATTGTACTATATAATTAAATGAAAAAAATAGATATAAATATTAATTGGAAGTTTCTGTATAAAATTGAATATATTTTATTATAGTAAAAGTAAAATAAATTTTAAATTATAAGTGTTATAAGTGTTAAAATATGTTATAATGTTATAATATACTTATAAATATACTTTTTATTTTATAAATTTAACATAGTCCGTCCCGGACCTGCTTGCCGAGACTCCCATCACTAAATCCTACTTTATTAGGTCCTTTACGAATTTGAATATATCCTAAAACTTTACGTTCTAATAAAGTTAAAAAAGCAATTCTAATTAAAATTTTAATTATTATATCTATTCATCGCAATTTGAAGGAGGAGCATGTGTGCTACGCTACTTCTGTTCACATTGCATTGTAGTATTGTCAAGGTTATTTTTTCTGTTTCGTCTTCAGTTCCATCAGTGCTGCTTTGTATACGGCGCACCCGCCTGATCCAGGCACGTGGGCCAGGTTCTGTCCTTCTATCCCTTTACAGAGGAAGCAGTCAGAAGTGTTTTTACACTCCTTGCTCACGTGACCCGTCTGTCCGCATTTCATGCAGCAGTTCTTTCTGTTCGGCCCTTTTCATTCTTACCGTGTATGTCCGTACCCGAGGCAGTTGAAGCATCTTTGAAGATGAATGCTGTGTCTAACTCGACAATTCATCCATCCTATTTTAATGCATTCTTTGCTTAACAGTCTCGTTGCTTCCGTCGTGTCGAACTCGCAAACGGCTCGCGCATTCCCGTTTGCGTTTGACGCAAAGAGATGCACTTTCCGTTCCGAGTCCGTATTTAGTTCACGATTCATCGCGTTCGCGATGTCCTGTACCGTCGTGACGTAGTCCAAGTCAGCAAACTCCAGCGTCACCATGGAAGTTAAGTCTTTTACTGTCGCAGTCTGTCGTAATACTTTCTGAAGTGTCCTTTGGAAGTCCTGTCCTTGCGACTTTTCCAGCCACATCAATACAGCACCGTCCTTGGTTTTTCTAATCTTTCGAACGTCTACCTTCTCTGTCTTGGGGTCTATCTTCTGTCTGATAGTTCGCAAGACATCGACATACAGTTGGCCTTCCGCCGGCTTGATCAGAATGGTCCCGCGCCTGGTTTTCAGGTTGGGACACTCCGATCCTCGGCTTTTGTGTCCGTTTGTCGTCTTTTGTACCGTCTCGTTGTCGATCTTTTTCTTGTTTCTTTTCTTTTTCTTTTTTACGACGATGGCCCAGTCCTCGGACAACTCCGGGTCTGTTTTAGCCGTCCCCTTTTATGTCCTGGAATTTCCTCCATTGCATTTGCACGTTTTTTCGTTACGTTCGTCTTTTATCTTATCTGTCGCATTCGCTTCAGTTCATACATACAAACTTCTACAGCCTCATATATCTCAACCATACCGTTCGTAATCACGCGACTCACGTTTCTTTGGACGTTCGTCTTCTCCGTCATTTGTCCTAGGACACTGTGTATGGTGAGCAGTTGCTCTCGCATCTTACTCTCCACAGCGTCCCAGGATTCTGGCGACGTCGACTCTGTCCTTTTTCCTGTCGTAATTACTCGTTCACTAGCCAGGTTTCCTACTGGTGTCACGGGGGAGCCGGGCAGCTCTTGTGACTCTCCGTGACTCTCCTGAGTCGATGGGCACAGGCGGCACTCTAGTACCTGCAAAATTTTCTTTACCTTTCATCTCATTTTCATCTCCTTCATTCTACTATGTGTTTTATGTGTTAGTGGTTAAAACTAATTATCAGGAATAGTGGGTCCTGCAATCTTTCCTGAGTAGATCCCCTGACCGTGCGTGCCTAGAGTCCGGTGGCCTCGACCGTTCCTCCCCCCTCCCCCTCCCCCTCCTTACAGCAAGGGCCCTTCCGATCGCCAATCGGCATTAATACAGAGAGCGAGATTTGGCGCTTATTAGGCGCTTTACCATTGTGTAGGGCGAGCCTCCCATGCTGGATGAGCTAGGTCCGACCCCCTCCAACTACTGGCTGCTCAGGAGTGCGAGACTGGTTTTACGATTGTACCCTCCAGAGTCGGCACACACAAAATCTAGGTTAAACTCTCTCGTGATTGCTCTCGCCACTATCTGGTAAAGTTCTGCTTTGTGTGTGATCGACTAATCTTTCATTCCTCTGATTTCACAGCCATTTGGGAGATGCCCGTTTATAGAGCCCCCACATTTATAACCCGCTTAGAAAAAATACCCGTTTATAGGGTTCCATCTCATTCGTAGGCAATTCCCGTTTATAGGGCCCTTCATTCATGCTCCCAGAGAATTTTCGGACTGTCAATCAGAGGTGTAGGTAAAGTGTGTGATGAGTGGTTGTGTACAGCCTTACTGCCTACCATTATTGGCGGCTGTAGCCAGTGTTTCCGTTAGCCATCTCTATTATACTCGTAGCGCTGCTGCAGAGAGCATCGGCGCAATATTGACGTTTCTAGCGGGCGCGACGTGGACGCCGGAAGTTAGCGTTTCTCTATTGTGGGTGTGATCCACACAATAGAGCACCCATTAATAATAATAATAGTAATCGTAATATTAGTAATAGTAATAATAATAATAATAACGTATATACATATATAAATATACATATATATTTATAGAATTTATTTTTGGATTGAAAGAAGTTCACATACAAACGCCTACTGCAGTCAAAAAAGGAGAAACTACGAAGCTTTATTGCTGGTTTGATACCGAAGGGGACCCGCTATATTTAGTAAAGTGGTATAAGTCTGGTCGTGAGTTTTATCGCTATGTACCTCAAGAAACTCCTTCTATAAAGATTTTTCCTGTAGATAATATAGAAATTAAGGTAAGACTACTTATTTCACTTCATATGAATTGTTTATATATATCTTATCTAACATAAGAGTCAAATGCGAATAATCTTGAGCAGAATGTTTGTTGCTCAGACGGTATGAAATTCAGAGATCGAATGAAACGAATACTAAAAATCGATCCCTTATTGAAAAAAAATGTGTCAAGTGTACTCGTGTTTCCATGTAGCGCTTAAAATATTTTTGGATTATAATAAAACCCTTTTAAGTACAGGTATCTATAATACATAAAATATACCATGCAACTATACAAATATAAAATTAGACTTACTAACATGGTATTGAATTCTGAGAATTATTTTTAACCACGAAATTACGACTTGAAGTAATTTTAACTTCGTTGAAATTATTATGTTTCAACACTAAACAAAAATCACATAAAAATATATACACGGGTACACATAAAAGAAAGGGATCTGTATAAAAAACGATACACAAACACACATACATGCACACACACACACACACACACACACACACACACACACACACACACACACACACACACACACACACACGCACACACATACATACATACACACACACACATATATATATATATATTCTCATGTATATTGATACGCTGAATCCAAATCAGCAGTCAATTTGACAATAGCACGTCAGGTTCAAGGGCATTTGAAAGTCAAAGTCAGGAAAAAGTCATTTTAAAAGATACGAAGTGTGTTCAAAAAGTAAGGTGACTTTGTATTTTTAAGAAAAAATATTTATTTATTTACCAATATTTATGTTATCCCCTTCAAAATAATCCCCCTCAGATACAATACACTTATGCCAACGGTTTTTCCAATCCTCAAAGCACTTCTCATAAGCACTTTTCGGTATAGCCTTGAGCTCTTCCAGCGATGCAGTCTTTATCTCTTCAATCGTTGCAAATCTCCGTCCTTTCATAGGGCTCTTTAGTTTTGGGAACAAGAAAAAGTCACATGGGGCCAAATCCGGTGAATATGGTGGCTGAGGCATGATTGTGGTGTTGTTTTTGGCCAAAAAATCTCTCACAAGCAAAGGTGAGTGAGCAGGAGCATTATCGTGATGCAAAAGCCATGAATTGTTTTTCCACAATTCTGGGCGTTTTCTTCGTATTGCTTCTCGCAAACGGCGCATAATTTCAAGATAATACTGTTTATTGACCGTACGTCCATATGGTAAGAACTCCTGATGCACCACGCCATGGTAATCGAAGAAAACAGTGAGCAAAACTTTGACATTTGATCGAACTTGGCGTGCTTTTTTCGGGCTTGGGTCATCTGGGCTCTTCCATTGGGACGATTGGACTTTGGTTTCGATATCATAACCATATACCCATGATTCGTCACCAGTTATGACCCTTTTGAGTAAATCTGGGTCGTCGTTGACGTCATTCAACAGTTCTTGAGCGATGCTCATGCGACGGTTCTTGTGGTCAAAATTTAGGAATTTCGGAACAAACTTCGCTGACACACGTCTCATGCCCAAAACGTTAGAAAAAATTTCATGGCATGAGCCAAGCGATATACCAACATCCTCATCAACTTCTCTGATAGTGATTCGATGATTTTCCAGAACAATTTTCTTCACTGCTTGAACATTTTCATCAGTTGTTGACGTGCTTGGGCATCCAGAGCGAGGCTCGTCATTGACATCTTCCCGGCCATCTTTGAAGAGTTTGTACCACTTGTAAACATTTTTTTTACTCAGAACCGTTTCACCGTATGCCACCGTCAACATTTCAAGTGTTTCGGAGCACTTTATTTTATTTTTTACACAAAATTTGATGCAAATCCTTTGATCCATATTTTTCGTAGTAAGAAATCGCCGAACACGCAAAACACTTATAACCTTTAGGTCTCTCACAACCAAACAAAAAATGCTATACACTTGAAACTTGGTACAGATGTTCGGCAAGAGTGTACCAACATAACAAAACAAAAAAATCGATAATCGAAAGTACGTTGCCCGTGAAATTTGAAAAGTCACCTTACTTTTTGAACACTCCTCGTATAACTAGGATTTTATTGTTTTGAGGGTTGCTGATTCTGAATCTCGAGTCTGATCTCATCATGGACCTGAATCAAGGTTATTTCCAGATCATACGCGGATATTATACAAAAAGTTAAATGTTCACTGCAGATTCTGAAGTAACGGAAAATTATATGTTAAAATAAAATATTTCTTATTTTTTTTTATCACGACTTTGAATGTTACTTCAAGGATTCTTGATATCTTTAGAATTAGTATGATGATTGTGAAAATACTAAAGTATGCCTTCATAAAACTAGGCAATTATTTTTATATGTTTCGAGGGTCGCTGAATCCGAACTTGGCTTTGAATGATTCCATTAAGTTTAGATCGAAATCAGCTTAAAATTTTTTAATTAAAATTTCTTGGTCTAAAAAATTATTTTCTTATATTTCAAGGATTGCTGAGTCCATATCTAGCAGTATAATTACTCCAAGAATACCCCAATCATATTTATTATGTAAATAATCCGTGATACTTTCATCTAGACATAGAACAAACTTCAACTCCAATATTACATTCACAACAACGTTTCGAGATAAAATGAATTGTAAGAATTTACGCTTTTCTCTCTTGTAATGGACCCTCTGTTTTTAAAAGATCTATGCAATGGATTTCTCTTCCTCCTTTGCGTTTCTAGCTCGTTTTCCCTTTTTAGCTTTCAGCAAAAGTTTGCCATCATATTTATATCTTATCTTCCTTAATACTAAAATTATATTTTCTTGATATCTTAATGAAACCGTTCACCCTGTTCTTTATTATAGTCTCTAAGATTTTCTAGAAAGTAATCAAGATAACAATGTAGAATATGCAATTTTTAATTCATTATACATCCTAACTCTTTGAAGTTTTTCAATAAATCTTCAACTTATGTATTGTAATCATCACTTTTTGATTTTCCAAGAAATTCTCTGTAACTTTTTTGAAACTTCTTCATGAAACTTTATCATAACAATGATCCCAATCCTTTAGGGATCATTATTATGATAAAGTCGTCTCTAATTCATTTTATCTCTATTTCATATCTGTATACAGTGCGGATTTAAGGACAATGGAAAACACCTGCTTTTAATTTGGCATCATTTATGTTCGGAAATTCTCTCTTAAGTGTTTGAAACATTCTCCATCTTTGTTTAGAGTTCTAAATAATTGTTTTATGAGACTAAGTTGATATTAATAAGTGGAAACAAAATTTTTAAAAGATATATTACAGGTTCAAGAAGAATGTTTTTTATCTTTAGATTAAAATCTATTCTTCTTGGTCACTTTTCCTGTATATCGTGATTTTTTTTATCTCTACTATTTCACGGATACAAGAAATAGGGATATTTTGTAAAACTTGCCTCCCATCTTAGAAACAGAGTTAATATTTTAAGATCATCGCAAACTTTTCATAAGTGTTCCGCGAAATTATTTAGTCGATTAAAATACATTAGATTACATAACTTTTATGCTTTACGCCTTTAAGAAACGCATAATATATAACCTTCCTCAGAAATGGCCTAATGATATAGAAGATATAGAAAACAGTATTCAAACGGTTAACCTACTCTTCTCTGAAGTCATTCATAAATGCTCTACTATAATAAATAGTTAAACACTACACCAAATTACTTCCAATGGAATAGCCTTAATACGCAGGCCGACAGTTTTTACATCCAGAGACCAGACATGGTGTACGCGAAGAAATTTGATGTGCTAAATCCGAATCTGTATTCAGAAATGATCTTCTACCCTCAGTTTTTAAGATAATCTAACCTAAAAGTGCAAAAGAGACTGATTTTCATTGTTTTTGAACTCTTCTTACGTCGCTAATTACCATTTTAGTCAAAAATTTTAAAAAACACTACCTAATTTTTTCGATTAAAATTTTTAAAGCATAGATATTTTTCTTTGAAATAGAGAAAATTTGAGTTTCCAATGGTACTATAAGCTACATGAAAAATGATCTGAGGTATATAAAAATATATTAATAATTCATATAGAATCTGCAAATTGCAGTTAATAATGCAATCTATTCAGGCACCACTTACAATCTTAAATAATGAATAAATTGTAACAGGCTGCCGCTTAACCTCTAATCCCTAGTGAATGTAATTATGCGTATGGTCAAATGACGCCTTGTTATCTATGTGCTGTAAGCACACTAACTCACCTTGTCCCGGAATACGCCTGCGCAGAGTTCTCTCACCGTCCTAAGTTGGGTTCTCGATCTCTCCGCTAGGGGCGCTGGCGCGCTCGCTTCACAGCGCTCCGTCGGCCCTGCCGACAACTCGGTTGGCGAGCAGCTTCGTATATTGCTTATGTGGTTCGTGCTGAACTACCGGCGCGTTAGAATCGAACGTAAACAATAATACAGCTTTCGGACAAAGGGAAGACAAAACAATGAGATCGTTGCGTGTTAATCTCGGATCACTTTATTTACTTAAAACTTGTATAAGGGAGGGATTTGCCTAGAGACTTTCGCACGCAATTTCGAATGACAATACAAACGGGGAGAGAGAGAGTGAATCTCGCGATCGTCGCGGACTATTCGCTCGCACGCTTATAATAATTTCACCGCACACGCTGCGCGGGATCGCACGCTAATTACAATAAATAGGGGTGGGTACCTACCGCGGAATTGATAGGGATACGGTGGCCAACCGTACCCGTCTACACTTGTTGTCGATGAGCAGCCTATGCGTCTGTTGCTCCGCTGTTGCTGTTGCGTGGCTGCAGGAGTTGCAGAGGTTGACCACGTTGGGGCCGAGGTCGCACACGTTTAACAATGCGCGCACTCGGCACTCCGCTCACAGTTATGGTTATCGGCGACGGTGTCACACACGTTGTACAGTGCGGACACCCGTCTCACCACACTTATTGTTGTCGTCAGTTGTTTATGCACACGACGTGCGATGTGCACCTCCACCTCAACCCTCTCGGACAAAGTACCAAAACTCCCTGGATCTCACTCGA